TACAGTCCCAGAGGCCTGGGACCAGTCCCTGTGTCTTTGGGGAGGGCTGGGAGAGTGCCCAGGTGTGGTGGCTGGGCAATGTGGCCATTAAAAAATCACAGGGCCTGTGGGGACACTCAGGGTTAAAAGGGGGAGTGCCTGCTAATCTAATCACTCTTCCTACCGAGCCTCTAGTTCCAGCCAGACCTGCCAGGGGTTTTATTATGTTTGTGGGGACCCGCAGATTTCAATCTTCAGACCCCACAGGGAAGGAACAAGCATTAAGCTAATTTTATTAAATGGCCACAGCTGGCACTGGGGGGGAAGTGGGGAATAGCAGAGAAGATAAAGGAAGTCATTCAAGTCTGCCAGCCATGACAAGGGTCCATACATGGGGTCTGGCTTGGAGGGAGGCCACCCCTCCTTCCTGTCCCTCCAGCTGAGCTGCACTGGGGAGGGGAGACCAGATGGGACCTTTCCTCCTGGTGGAGCCCTGTGAGTCTCCAATGGGCTCACCCTGGGCTGTTGCCTGGGGCACATGCTGGAAAATACACCAGGTGTCTCTGGTCTGGGAAGGGTGGAGGAGCCAGGCTCAGCTGATGAGGGGCTGAGCTGCCCCCAGTCTGTCTTAGTTCTGCTTTGGAAACCCCAAACCTTTACAAAATTTACTCCTTTTTAGTTCTGTCCCCTTGGCAAGATACTTAACCTTTTTAAGCCTTAGTCTCCTCATTAAAAACATGTATAGAGTAACAGTAGCTATGTAAGAAGGCACATTGCCTGCACAGCTGCCCCCTCCCCACACATACACACCCAGGAGCAGGTGTTTATCCATTTCTTACATGGTGTCGGACACAGAATTGGTGCTCTCTAAATATTAGCTATTATTAGGACATTTTTATGATTGTTTTGAAGGAAGCACACCCAGAGTGCTCCTTAGAAGCAAAGACGGCAAGGCTTCATCTCACATACTTTGAACATGTTACCAGGAGGGGCTTATCCTTAGAGAAAGACATCTCGCTTGGAAAAGTAGAGGGTCCGTGAAGGAGAGGAAGACACTCCACAAGATGAAACAGTGACGGCAATGAAGGGCTCGAGCACCAGATGAGGCAAGGTTGCACTGTGTGTGCACAGGGTCGTTACGAGTCGAAGCCAACTTGACGTTACCTAATAACAACAAATGACAGCCTGTGACTGTCATGGTCTCAGAGACAGGAGGGAAGGGAGGCAGTGGCAGGTCAGGGACACCTAGTGTGCTATCACCAAGGTGAAGGGCTTCTTGGGTTCAAGTGTAACCTCAGATCTGTGTCCTATTAAGCAAGATATTTAACTTCTCTGAAGAAGGGAGCCTTTGGGTCACACAAGACAGTTCATGTACGTGGCTACTAAATAAAAATTGAAAGTTTTAGTCCGTCCAAAGGCATCTAGAAAGAAAGGCTAGGAGATGAGATCTAAGTCTGAAAACTCAGCCACTGAAAATGGTGGGGTACAGATGGGTTTGCCATGAGAATGAATGACAACTAGTTGGTTGGTTAGGGAGCTCTGGTGGCCTAGTGGTAAGGAGCTGCGCTTCAGTCCCAAAGGCGTGTGGTTTGAATCCACCTGCTGCTCCATGAGAGAACTCTCCTCTTGTCTCTGAAAACCCATTGGAGAGTTAGCTATGGGTCAGTTCTGACTTGATGGTACACATTTCCAACAGTTCGTTGGTGAGATGAATAAATTTCTGCTCCAACAATCTGAGTGTTGTTGGAGACTTGTATGATGACATCTGAAAATATTTTGCAAACTTGAAAGTTTATAAATAAGAAAAGCTTTGTGGATTAAACAGAGACCTAGATTTTGTCTCATAGTTGATCCTGCTTGACAGGGTAGAAACCTCTCATCTAGGGTTTCCTATGTTATAAACTTTGTGGTAGCAGACCATCGTGACTTTCTCTCAGAGTTGTTGGGTGAGTTTAAACTGGCAACCTTTGGTGGGCAACTGAGTGCCATTAGGTCACTTAACTGTATACCTTGTGTCTCTTTAATCCACAATCAAGTGAGATAAGTCTTGTTAATTTACATGTCATGGGTGAGAAAACTGAGGCCCAGAAAAGTAATGGATCAAGATCAAGTAGTTTCTAGCGAAAAACTTATTCCTTCATTGTGGCCACTAACCCAGAACTGAATTTGAGAGCTTGACTTGCCAAGATCATGTACAATGACACTGGGTCAAGTATCTAAGCCTCCTTGTTTAAAGCTCATTGGAATGCTAAAGTCACTGTCAGGGTTGAGGAAAAAAATATTATTTCCACTGTGGAAGATGGTAAGTGGGCTTCTCTCCATTCTAACTGCCCACGATCATTTTGGGGCTGTGCTGGGCATTGAGCACCCCCCCCCTTTTTTTTTCTCTGTGTGTGTGTGTGTGTGTGTGTGTGTGTGTGTGTGCCATTAGATCTAACTGGTACAGGAGGAGATTGCCCCTCCTTCTCCAGAAGAGCATCTAGTGGATTCAAACCACATACTTCTGGGATCATTGAGTCCTATTGAAGGTTGAATTATACCCCCTAAAAGATAAACTGAAGTTCTTGATACCTGTGGATTTGACCTTGTTTAGAAACAGGGTCTTTAAAGATGTTATCAGTTAAATTAGGATGAGGTCATCCTGGAGTAGGGTAGTTCTTACATCAAGAGAAGAGACACAGAGGGAAGACAGTATGTGAAGACAGAAGCTAACAGTGGACTGGCACGTCTATAGGGGACACTGAAGATTGCCAGGAGTCACCAGAAACCAGGAAAAGGCAGGAGAGGCTCCCCTAGGACCTTCAGAGGAAGTGTGGTCCTGCTGCTGGTGCCTTCATTTCAGATTTATGCCTGTTGTGAGACAATATACATTTCTGCTGTTTTAAGTCACCCAGTCTGTGATGCCTCGTTACTAATGCTAGAACACTAATACAGGCCTCTTGACTCACTTCTCCTGGAGCAGCTCTGACTCTGGCACCTGGCTCCCCCTGACCATGGAAGATCCCACTGGACTGCAGCTCAGTGGGGAGCAGAGATGCTGTGAGATCCCTCTGGGCCTCACAATGGGGCAGTTAGACTACATGAACATCAGGATCCGTCATGGGAGGGTGATCCGGGCTTTCAAAGAGTGGACCTCAGCCAGTGTCCAGTCTCTGCACTTCATCCTCTCATCCATTTCAGGCCCAGCGAGTGAATAATTCCCCTGCAAATTCTTCAATCTGAAAGTGTAACCTCTTGCTGTCAGAGGGAATTCAGGGGTTGCAAATGCATTTTAACGTTAGTCTGAACAAACTGAGTATGAAAGGGGAATTTGCAGCAAAATACTATTGATCTCTTTTCAACAGTAATTCACATCTTTTGGGTGTTAGCTGGGATTGTAGATTCTCTCCCCCACCCCCAGCCCTGACCCCATCTCAGGTAAATAATTTACATCTTGCAACTCCATTTCTTCACTGCAGTCTCCCCTTGCCATCTGAGCTGAAAATGACTTGTCTTCCTGGGATCAATCTGCGTCCCAGAGAGAGAGAGGAAAAAAATACAGTTAAGTCAGACTTGGTGGCAGCCTAGCCCCCTGCCTCCTTCTCCTGAATACCACCTACTGCTCCCTTTCTCTTTTTTTTTTTTTTTTTTGAGTGCTATTGGACAAACTCCATCCTTGGGCCGGGCCTGTGCCTGCAGCTATGCAAGATTGAGGTGAGTCTCTGCTGAACCCAGAAGTTGAACTGAGCCCCCTTCCTAGGAGTAAAAAGCCCTCTGGTGACATGTATGGGGCAGGTGGGCCTGGAGTCAGCCCTGGTGATGACAACGGATGGGTGGTCAGGGAGATGTGCATGGTTTCTCTGGGCCTCGCCTGTCAGAAGTTGTAACCTCTGATCTGGACCTTCAGCGTGGTTTCTGGTCACTTGGACTATAAGCAAGTCTTCAGGGATTCAGTCAGGAAGGCAGTAGAGGGGAAGGATTTGAGGTTGGGTGAGGATGGAGGGAGGAGCCCCAATGGCACACTAGGTTGTGCTGCTAACAAGGATTCACAGCAAAAATGTTGGACTCCTAACCAAAGGCCTGGCAGTCAAATCCACCAGCCAGAGAAAGACAAGGAAGTCTCCTTTATATTTATGGCCTCAGTGCTCACTTTGGCTGCACATATACTAAAACTGGAACGATACAGAGATTAGCATGGCGTCTGCACAAGGATGACACGCAAATTCATGAAGCATTTCATATTAAAAAAAATTATGGCTTCAGAAGCCCAGTGGAGGATTGTCACAGCCCTACTCCATGGCAGTGGGTCTGAGTTTGTGAATGGGGGGGGAGCTCAGAAATAGTCAAGATGGTCCCACTAGAATGAAGAGAGAAGCAGCAGCAGTCTCAAGGCAGGGTCTTAGCTCTATGCTTGGTTCTTGTCCATTTTTGTGGTTGGGTTTTTTTTTTTTTTTAAAAAAAAAACCATCAACCTCATCCCTACCTCAGGCCTATTGAGAGGCCTGCTTCTCTGTTCCCACTTAGGTCTTTCCTTTTAAAGCCAGTTTTTTGCAGCAGGAGGGGGGAAGATCCACATGCCACTACCTCAGCCTCTTGGTTCCATTTCCCTCCTGCAGCCCCTCACTAAGGGTACAGACAGAAACTCCGTGGGAAGTGCTTTTATTATAGCTTTGGTCAGATGGGGCGCAGCTAGGGCTTTGGGGGGTGATGAGCAGCTTTCCGGCCCCCAAACCACCCCTCCCCAGGTGGCACCGCCCTGGCGCAGGGAAGCCACCTGCCACCATGACCTCTTCCCGGGCTGGGGCGGGCTGCCCGGTAGAGAGGGTCAGTAAACAGTCCTATTGTACAAATATACAGCGCGGGCTGGGGTGGGAGGGGCAGATCAAGCCGGCTCCTGGGGACGGCTCTGCAGGTGGGCCTAGCTGTGACACAGCCACGAAGGACCAGGTCCAGGCAGCGACAAGTGGGTTGGGGACAGGCCATCCTCTGCTCCCACCGGAAGACAGCCTCCGGAGGGGACTAGGAAGGGTAGAAGGGGACGCTCAGTCGGAGTAGATGATGAAGCCAGAGAACGTGCTGTATTTGTTGCTGTTGCCACCATGGGCTTTGCCTCCGTCGAGCTTGATGAAGACCTCGTCACCTGCGTCCAGGTGCAGGATCACGCTGTTGCTGGCGTAATCGTAGTTCTGGTCAGCATCCTGGGCAATGGCACTGGCCCGCACCTGTGGAGGGATGGGGGGCAGAGGAGGAGGGGAGTAGTGTGGGGGTGGAAGGTAGGGAGAGGGGCGAGAGAAGCATGTCAGGGAGAGATGGGGGGCTGTTAAAGGTGAGGCCCCAAAACCTGGCCACTGTCCCTTCACTCCTTCCCACCCCCAGATCTTTTCCAATCATAACTTGTATTTGGGGAAGGGTATTAATGGAGACACGGGATCCTCAGGCAGGTTTAATGATGGCTGGAATTTGGAGTCCATCCTGGGAAGGAAGCCTTGCAGGATGCCCCAGCATGGAAGTACCTTCCAGGCAGAGAAAGATTCTCTGGAGCCACAGGGCATGAGAGCCACGCCTTCTCATCATTCCTTCCTCTGCTTTAATTGCCTGCCATCCTCTCTCTACTTTAATACTAATATTTCAGCTATACCTACCCTCTTACAGCCCTGGATACACATAGGAACTAAGGGGGTGGGGGGAATCATCATAGTTCAAGTGGCTGGACCGCTAAAAGACAAAACCAGGACCAAGTCTTCAGGTTCCTCGTCAGAAGTTCATTGCAGACCCTCTCACAGCCATCTACCCACCCACAAAGCTTTCCTTCCCCTCTCCAGGTTCAGACAAGACCTAGGGGTTAGCCTCTGAGAATCAAACACCAAAAGCTAAATGAAAAACCTAATCCATTCCTGCTGGATCGATTTGACTCACTGTGGGCCTGTAGGACAGAACAGAACTAAGCTAATAATGTTTCTAAGGAGACCCTGTAGAGCAGGCTAGAACCTGCCCCTCAGGTGTTTAAGGCTGTAAACCTTCACAGAAGTAGACAGCCTCCTCTCTCTTCCGGGGAGCACTGTTCCATAAGGTTTCCAAAACTAAATCTCCATGGAGACAAACGGCCACATCTTTCTCCCATTAAACAGCTGGTGGGTTCGAACCCCTGACCTCTCTCTTTGATTAGCAGCCAAGTTTCTTAACCACTGAATCATCAGCTGTTGCTATCTATACCTGTGACTATTACCCAACTCTTCTCTAAGTGGATTTCTAACTTCTGTCTCATTCCAGGAGGGTAGAAAGAAACCAGAGGGAAGAGAGGAACTCCAAACATCCATCTCTGTGATCTTCATCTGCTCTGATATCCTGACCCTGAAGGGGAAGGGGGGACAGCCAGGACATTGGGGAGGAGAGTGCCAACATCTGGGTATGATCCCTGCTGTCATTTTGGGGCTTCAACTAGAATCAGGGCATTCCCTCCTGGCATCCTTTTCTAAGGGAGCCCTGGTGGTGTAGCAACATATGAGATTGCTAAACAAAAGGTTGGCAGTTCAAATCCACAGTCACTCGGAAGGAGAAAGATGGGCAGTCTCAGCCTTAGAAACCTGATGGAGGGTCGCTATGAGTCAAGGTCCACTCGGCAGTGGTGGGACTCCTTGCTAACAGCTGAGGTCACTCAGTGCCTGGCCTTGGGATCTAGACTTCCCCAGGATGATCTGGGTAGAAAATAGAAGAGAGGAATCATATCCAGGGTGTCTTCTTCTTGGAGGAGGAATGAATTGAATGAGGCCTATCAGCAGGGTTCTCAAAGACCCCTTCTCCATCCTGCCCCTCTCCAGCAGCTTCTCCAAAGGCTGATAATCTGGGTTAGAGCAGATCAAATTAGGAGTGGGGCCCAGCCTCCGTCCTGGGCAGGAGGCAGACGTGCCAATCAACCGTGCCAACGCTGACTCAGCAGCAATTCTTAAAAAAACCCCCAACATATTTGTGTGCAATCTGCCATTTAATGCCCAAATCTCTCCAGGCCCTTTGCTCCTCTCTCTCTCCTCTCAACAGCTTCTTCCCTAGCCTAGGAAAGAAGTGTTTGGGTATTTACCTGGGGAAACTCCTGGGCTAGCTAAGATCCACTAAAAGACCTCATTGCTATTGATTCTGACTTCCAGTGACCCTCTGTTGGATTTCCCAGGCTGGAAATCTTAACAGGAGAAGATGCCCATCTTTCTTCCATAGAGCCGCTGTGGACTTGAACTGGTAGTCTTTTGGTTAGCAGCCCAACATGTCACAAGTACACCACCAGGGCTCCCTGGTCCCATGAAAGGAAAAGTGATAATATGAAAAGATGATGCTGTCTGTCAATGAGCTCAGTTCCTCTCTCTAGAAAATGGAGGAAGAGATGCTGTGCGCCACTCTCATGTCTGTGAAAGCTTTGATAGTGAAGAAAATGAAAACTTGATGGAGTTTTGAGCTACCAGGAAAAAGCTGAAAGCGAGCAGCTGACTTCGGTATTGTTCCCTGGGCCCTAATCCTGGTAGTATTTATTACTACACATGCATTTCATTATCTTTGCTAATAAATTACCACTAATAACAATTATTTTTATTACCCAGATTAATTTAGCCTTAACTCATTAGAACAGTGTGCTCTTTAATAACCAAATTCATTACAATGCAGTCATCTGTCATCAGGAATCTCCCAGTGATGTGACAGGCATCAGGATTGTTATGCTTATGTTTATTATTTATTCATCACCATGATTGTTGCTGTAATTATCCTAATTATCCACTGAGGCAGGGAGAATTTATGTCCTTCCATCCTTAGATGGTGGGGGATCTGGGAATAGAACCCATGGGTCCTAATTCTCTGCCCAAGACTGGAAGCAGTTGAGGCATTCAGCTCTCGGTGGGAACCAAAGGGAGGTCTGAGGAATTAAGGATGCCATGAATGCAGTAAAGTCTGAGATTTGTCATGAGGAAATCACTTCCTGTGGGGCTGTCAGGAAGGGAACTGAGGCCATGATCTGAGCAGGAGCCTAGAGTGGGGTGAGAATACAGGGAAAGAGCTGGAACATGCAGATCAATGCTCGGCCTGGGATATGAAGGCCTGGCTCCTTGGGCAGCCAACCTGGGTCAAGGAAAGGCTTCCTGGGCCTCTACTGTGCCTGACGGGAGTTCTTGGGAGGTTCTCAGCTGCTAACATTCAGGCAGCACCATGAAACAGAATTAACTTGAGGGAAATTATTAGGGTCTGAACGCCAAGGCCCGTACTTGGTGCTGTAAAAGCATCAGGGGTCAGGGAGGCTATCAGAGGAACTATCTTCCGTCACCAGTAGATGATGGCTGATCTCGTTAGGCCTGTATATTGCGGCCCCACAACCTCTTGCCTTTACTAGACACAGCTTCTGTTTCCCAATTCCCTGAATTTCCCTCTTTCCCCCCACTACTGTAGCATTTATTGTAGTTTAGGTAAAAATCTAAAGAGCAAGTTAGTTTCCTATTCAACAATTCATACACATTTAAGTTTGTGACATTAATTACAATCCCCTCAGTGTAACATTACTCTTCTCACTTCTTCCCTACATTCCCCAGATCCATTTGCTTATCTTTCCTACCTTCTGAGCTTTGTTTTGGGGTATATGCTGCCTCTGATCTCATACATAAAGGGGAGTATATTCCTCATTGGCATTACTATTTAATTTATAGGCTTGTCTGGTTTTGGAGGGTTTTTTTGCTGAAAGATGTTCTCCAGGAGTGGGTTCAGCTTCTTGTTCATTTTTAATATTCATTTTCCCACAGGTCCCTTCTCCTAGTGAGGAGCATCCTAGGCATAGGCCTGGCCCGTTTCTACTCCCTTCAAAGGCCAGAGGAACAATTCTGTACTCTCCTTCACCTATCTCACCTGCCAGCAACGCACCTCAGCGGGCACTACCCCTAAGCTAACACTCCTTCCTCAGGCCTCACCAAGCCTTAATGACTAGGAATTGATGCCAGTGACTTTGGGGTGATGACACAGAGCTATCCCTGGGAGAGAGTGCAACTAGGGAGTGTTGGCCTTAAATAAAGAAGGGAAAGGGCTCAGCACCAGACACAAAGGTGGTGACCCACGCAATCTTGGCCTGGGAAAGGTCACAGCCAGATGTGGCTGTGCCTTTTTCCTGCTGGAAGAAATACTGGAAGCCTCTTGGCAGGCAGAAAGCCAGGGAGGAAAAGCAGGGGAGGGAAACACAAGGCCAAGGTCACTCTTATTCCCGAGGGCATGAAAATGAAAGCCTCTCTCCTTCATTCCCATTCATTGCCCCAAACTCATGCTTCTGAGCTGATTTCAACTCATGGTGACTATAGGGTTTCTGAAGCTGTAAATCTTGCTGGAGAGAACGCCCAGCTTTTTATTAACCTACAGAGTGGTTGGTAGATTTGAACTGCTGATCTTTTGATTTGCAGTCCAAGGCATAGATCCTTATCTATTGTCCAGTCCTGTCGTTTCTCCTCTGCTCAATAGGATGTCACGGTGCACCTATTATCCAACTAACCCAATACTTTTCTCCCTACCCAATTCCACATCTCACCACAGGACCTGGTTCATCGTCCCCTGCCCCTGCCCCTGCCCCACTCTCACATACAGGACAGCCTGGCCTGGGGGCACACCCAATTCCACATCTCACCATGGGACCTAGGTTCACATCCCCTGCCCCATCCTCACATACAGGACAGCCTGGGCCAGGGGCAGGCCCCATGGAATCACTGGCTCAGCTACCACCTTTGCATTGTCCATTGGGCCCCCTGCCCACATTCAGAGCATGTTACTGTCTGGTTACCACAGTCTCCCTTGCACAGATAACAGGTTCCAAGAGGTTGAGTAGACTGGGCCTCTGATGTCAAACCAACTTCCAAATTTGACTCCTAGTAGGGGCTCAATGCAAATGTGTGTAATGACAAGTGGGATTAAGTGACTTTTGGGGGCAATAAGAAATAAGTCATATAGAATGTATTTGGGGAGTGGAAAGGTAAACTGTCTAAGTAACCATATGAAAATACTGGATCTGTGAACAGGGAGTTAAGCCATTTCCTTATTCTGACGGGCCTAACTCTGGCAACATCCTTCATCAGGCTCTGTTCTACCTAATGAGATCAAAGAGGGGGGTTTTGCATTTTGTTTCACCTTGAAGCTAGTATCCCACTCTTACTCTCTCTCTCTCTCTCACACACACACACACACACACACTCATTCTTGAGATCTCTGATGGCTTTTGTTCTTGGGCCCTGCAGATCTCCCAAGATGGAATATAGGATTCAGAGCCTAAGGATTGGTTGATGATCTCATTATCCAGGCAAACTGGGACCCCAGGTCTTGAACCTTCAGCAGTGGTGCCAACCCAAACTTGGCTTGGAAGAGGAAGAAATCCCATTGATGAAGGTGACATTGATGCATCCCTTATTGGTAATTAATAAAGAGAACCAAGGGGCTGACTGCAGAATGCACCCTCGCAGGATGCTGAGGCCTCACATTTGATCAGGAACCAAGGACAAAGAGGAGAGATACTGGGAGGTCTGAGAGACACAAGTGGTAGAGAGAGCAGATTCAAGGAATAGAACAGCAGAGAGTCAGATCCAAGAGAAAGAGGTCACTAACCCGGGGAGGGATGGACAGTAATAGCAGACACAGAGGGGAAAGATCCAGGAAAGAGCCCTGGAGGTGGAAAAAGAGACAAGGGAAAGGCTGAAGCCAGCAAGGGCAGCAAACAAGGGAGAGGGAGGAGGGGCAGACAGACCTGCCAGCGCCAAAGGCTTTGGCTGATCCCTCAGTGCCTACCCACTCTACCCCACGCCCACCCTTGAAATCCCACAGGTTAGCCTGGGGTCGTGCCGTGATCCGGAGGGTTCGAATCGGTCGCTGGGTCTCCATTCCACCAGCTCAGTTTGAATTCTGACCCATCAAGGCTCCCTGTATTACACAGAACATATAGGCTGACCACGCCCCCAGGGACCGAGGGCACCTCGGATTGGGAACACTGAGGGCAAAGAGGGAGCTTAACAAAGTTATCTCTGGAAGTAGGACTGGGTCGAGGTTAGCTCCCCAGCTTTTGGCCGCTTTTCCCAGGAGAGCGGCCGCGTACTCGCCAGTAGTCACTCACACCGGAGTCCCCTAGCAGCCAGCGTGAGCGCTTCAGTCCTGGGGTGGGGGCGGGGAAACGAAAAGCTACCCCAACATTCTAGGAGGCTGGAGGGGTTGGATCAGGGAGACCAAGAGAAGAGGGAGTTTCCTCCTTTTCGAGCTGCCTTTAAAGGAAAAACTTTTCCCCTGAGGCGGCCACTAGGTAGCTCCGACAGAAGGGAGGGACTGCGCAGTGCTGGCTTTCGCCAAAGGTGTCAGATGGGCTCAGTGGCCCCTACCCGAGGGCGGCGGATGTATGTCTAGCCCGCCAGGCTCTGCCTTTGTACCCGAACCTCTTCTACTGACAGCTCTCCGCTTGTGCGGTCAGCCGCGCACTGGAGCGCCCGAGGACCCCGAGACTCCTCTTCCCGCTCGCTGAGCCCATCTTTGGTCTCTCTATCGCCCACTGACACGAGCTTGAACCCCACCTCCCTAGTATCAAGCCCCTAAGGGCCAGTCTGCGCTCGCGAGAGCCTTCCACTCCAATGACTTGAGCTAAATAACCGCATTTCCTACCTCCCATACCCTGCAGCATTACCGTGGAGTTGGGGATGTTGGCCGACTCTCATCACCCCCGCAGGTGATGCCTAAGTGGGGCCGCTATGGGATCTCCACCTGCGCGCGCCCGCCAAGTTCGAACCGGTAACCTATCTGGCCGGGACGCCTTGCCCCCAGGCCGGCCCCAAGCCCCCGCCGGGCCCACCTGGCCGTTCTTGCAGAGGTCCGCCCACATACTGGTGCCGTCGCCGCCGCGCATGAGGACATGGTAGGTGAAAAAGTAGGTGCCAGGAATGTTGCACGTAAACTTGCCGCTGGCCGCGTCGTAATTGTTGCCTAGGTTGGTGACCACGTCGTCGAACTTAAGCACCTCGTAACCCTCGTGGGGGTTCTTGAGGCCGGCGTAGAAAGCCACGCGCGGCACCGTGGTGTAGGTGGCCGTGCTGATGGCACCGCTGCCTCCCGCGCCTGGCAGCCCGGGGGGCCCTGGCTTGCCGGTCTCACCCTTCTCCCCTGGGGGCCCCACTGGGCCCGGAGGACCCGGGTCCCCTGGAGGTCCAGGGGGGCCCGGCTTGCCGGTGCGGCCCGGCTTCCCCTGGGGGCCCTGCACCAGCGTGGAGGGCGGGGGCGCGCCGC